CTAAAGGTGGTTCTACAAGCTATTGAATCATAAGGTGCACTTAGTTTTTCACACATGGCTTGTCCATTTTGGCTTTCTTTTCGTAAAATAAATGACATGGTGTAATATGTCATGTGTTGTTGTTCATCTGAGGTTGTATTTACCTGCTTTTGAGAACTGCTGAGGACCAGATGATTTTTATTATGTCCTGATACGTAAAAGCACAGAACTCAAAGAGGGTGTACTTTCTTTTTCACACAACTGTACTATGTTTCTGGAATGCTTTTATATATTTCAAAAAGCAAAGCAAAGCAACTGATGTTGCATTTCTATTATATACTTAGTAAGTTCTTTCTTTTTTTCCCCCTTGCAGTGGCCCAGTTGGATAATATGGGATTTAGCATCGTCAAGAAGTGTATCCATGCTGTTGAATCTAGAGGTGATGTTTCCAGATATAGAACTCTCTTGTATCTATATAGCAGATATAGACTTCTTCATCATTCTTTCTTCCCTCAATTGTCGTAGGTACAATCTTGGTTTTCATAGCCTGGTTTGAAATCAGCCTATGTTACCGATGGAAGTTCATGTTAAAAATGTTGAATGAAATAACTTTTGAGCTTATACTTTTTAAATGTACTGCTTCTTTCTACGAGCCTACTTCAAGCAATGTTAATTTGTTTTCTGATTACCTGGTCTTATATTTTTATGAAAATAAACTATGGCTTATAAAAAGACTTGTTGAGCTTTAGCTTTGTGCCCTACTACTACAAGACTGCATATTATTTGAAGTTAAGTAAAAAGCACAGCTCAGTTAAAATGGTTTAAGAGTAATGGCCTTGATTAAAATCATAGGTTAAATATATTCAACTGTGTAACCAAACTAGTGATTATTTTGAAAAAAAGTAATTCTAAACTTTTCAAATAAATAAAGTTTAGGTCATTTAACCCCTGTTTCTAACTCTTAGAGACATTCTGTACTGCTATTTTTATATATGAGCTCTTAGGCCTAACCCCACACCTAACAACAGATTTTTACATTCCCTCATCTTTTTGGATTATCTCATTATAGTGGGGGAATAACTTTTACTAGTAATTGTATGTGGGTCTTTGATCTGAAACACAGAAAGAAATGCCACCAGCTCTTAATTAGAAACTTTGAAAAGTGTGTAGAGCTGTGACAGACTTTTAATTAGTGTAGCTCTGTGAGAAACCGTTTTTTAAAAAAGAAACATTAAATTACTTTTCAACCATTTATCTAAATGAAATAATTTCACTCCATAGGGATCAATGAACAAGGACTCTACAGAATAGTTGGGGTCAACTCCAGAGTTCAAAAGCTACTGAGTATCTTAATGGGTAAGTAGAGCTGAAAAAAAAATAACATGCTGGGTTTTTTTTCTGTGCCAATGGTGATGTGAATGCATCCAAAAGGAACAGAGACTTACCACTGTGAACTTAATTATTTTAAAAAAATCAGCTTGTGAATGAAGGATATCATGCAAGATCTTCATTACAGTACACTGAAATACACAGTTATAGAAATGCGTATCACACAGTATTATTTCTACTTTACAAATCTGCTTTTTTTCAAAAAAGCATTTTCTGCTCTGCATTAATATTTATTTATATGCTTTATTTATATGCTGGGTGGCTAACAATGAAAACAAATCCTGCAGAAATAATAAATAACTGACCCATACAATAAATCAAATACTATTTCAGAATTATATAAGAAAGGAAATATGTATAAAAACACACATCCAAAAGTTCAAATCTTCAATCATTATGTACCTCCTGCACCTGATGGAACAGCTAGGTCTTAACTGCTCTCCAAAAACCCAGAGAGGAAGGAACAGACCAGATCTCCCTAGAGAGGAATTCTGCACCATCAGAATGGCAATTGAAAATGCCCACTACTGAGATCACATCAGGTGGCATCTTTGTAGCAATGGGACCTGGAGGGGGTAACCCTGTTCAACCTGATGTATATGGAAGAAAGCAGTCTGGAGCTATGTAGGGCCTTAAAGGTGACAACCAGCCCCTTGAATTGTACTGGAAGCAGACTAGTAACCACTTTAGCCTTCAAAGCAATGGATGTCACCCAGGTATATTAGGATACAGCATTACTGCCCAGGCTGCCACATTTAGTACCAGCTATATTTTCCAAATGCTCTTCAAGGGCAGCTCCATGGAGTGTGTGTAGAAGACCTCATGATCCAAGAATGGTCACAACTGATGCATGAGATGTAGGTGTGCCAAAGCCATCATGATTTTTTTCCCTGAGCTTTCCCCTCCCAAATTCCCTTTCTTCTTGTGCTTAACTGTGGTGTGTGCATTAATTTCTCCTTCTCTCTTTTAATACTTGCCATAATGTGCAAATAGTGTTTTTATTGTTTGTTTTTATTTATTGTGAGCTTTTTCTTAGCTTCTCAGAGCAGATTTTTAATTCACAGAAATTTCTGGTGCCTTTTAATTATAAGTCTACCTGTTACTTCCATATTCTGACCACTATAAATTGAAATGCTAATAATAGGAACCTATAAGTTTTTCCTAGATAATTAGACCCTAGATACATAGCAGATACTATTTATTAATATATTGCAATAATTTATACCCACCTTTCAGAACAGTAATCCTTCTAAAATGCTTTACAATCAAAATAAGCATTTGTAATTAAAAATACAATGCATATTAAAGAACAAAGAAAGTCTTGTAGGATCCTTGTCACAGGACAGCTGGAGGAAGAGACCCACTGAACTTCAGTGATTGCGGCCTTCCTTTTTCCTCTCTCCTTCTATATGCAATAAAAGTAGCAAATATATAACATGAATATGTTCTTTTAGCTCTACAATCTATGTAAAACAAAAGTAAAAAAAGAACTTTGCAACTCATTATCAGTGCTGACAGACTTTTGGCTCTCTCCAGCTATCACTTAATGGAGGCATTCCATCAAGTTACTTAAACTGTTTCTCTCCCAGTTGGTCATGATAAGAAATGTAACTTTAAGAACTGTGCCAAAATTGCTTGCCTGTCTTCCTTCCTTCCTTCCTTCCTTCCTTCCTTCCTTCCTTCCTTCCTTCCTTCCTTCCTTCCTTCCTTCCTTCCTTCCTCCCT